GACATTGTTTTAGAAACATTCTCTTGACTTGAAGTTTGTTTGGATATAATCAAATATTTAATTAATTTTATTTTTCAATGTTAGCGCCCGTTAAGTTAATCGGTGCACCAAGTAACCAGACCATCAATGAAACAGACACAGTAACATTTGTCTGTAATATTAGTGGTAATCCAGCCCCTGTAATCAAGTGGTATAAGGATGAACTCACTGTTGGTACAGGAGACACACTCAGCTTTCCAGTATTCAGGAATCAATCAGGATACTACTGGTGCTCAGCTGATAATGGCTTAAATGTGACTGTCAATGCCAGCACTTACCTTAATGTGCATTGTGAGTATAAAATCAATTCAAAAGAATTTTTGAAATGATACAAATGTAAATGCAAAACATTCCAGGGACAATCATTGAATACTAATGGTCTATGATAGATTTTGTTTATTTGTCAAAACGATAGCTTAAATATCACAATGTACCCCAGAGCTGCTATTATTTCAGTATATGTGGTGTTGATTGTAAAATGTTGATTGTGAAAAGGTCCCAAGTTGATTATGTATTGGTAACTTGCCAAGAATTTATTTTGCTGACCTTTCGTTATATAATGTTATTTTAATAGCCGTATAAATATATTCCATTGTCCATGTTATTTTAGTTAGGTTGAGTCAATAATTGTTGTGAGTCTAGTGATTAAAGTTTATTTCACAGTTCATTGCTCAAGCATAAGAGCTTACCCAAGTTATTTCAAAACATTATTCATGATGATACAAAGCAGAGGCCAGGAACACAGCGGCCAAATGTCTACTCTTGTGGGAACATTGTAATGACTAGGCTACATGCTCTCAGGCTGTCAGAGCCAAGTTATCTCACACTAGTTATAAAAAAAAAAACCACTTAACCCTGTGAAGTTACAGTGTTTTAAAAGCATACAACTTTTTTCGGTAAAGCTCAAAAGGAATGTTAAATCATCAGGATACCCATACTTAAATTTTCTGAAGAAAAAAGTGTAGTTAAGTATTATCAACTGAGTTGATAATGGAAATTGGCAACTGTGTAGAGTTTGAAAGCTGACGTTTCGAGCGTTACCCTTAGTCAGAGGGAAGGGCTAATGCTCAGCTTTCAAACTCTTCATGGTGGCCAATTTACATTATCAACTCAGTTGATAACACTAATTCACCTTGCTATACATGTACTCTCCCACTGACACCACCACAGTTTCTTTAAAAACCTACTCCCTTTATTCATTTGTGTCCCAAAAGTCTGATATTTTTTGTGGATAGCACACCACTGGAAGTTATTCACAAGCAGTAACCTTGGTCTTTTGAATAAAAATTTCAGTTAAAACTTCGCACAATAATATTTCCAATTCATCAGCCAGTGTTAAGAAAAGTAGAGTCGGCAAAGCTATCAACCAATTGTTGTCATCTGGATATTAACTCAAGATTCTCTTAAAATTAGTGAACATGGAAATTGTTTCTAATTAGCCTGAGGTGTAATTACCAGCTGGATCATAGGAGGTTGAAGGGTTTAATAACTAGGACCATGCTTCCTTTACCTGCCATGGGTGATAGGAAATAAAATGGGAAAGAAGTGGTTCTTAAATGTTATGATGCTATCTCAACCTTATTTGGCAAATCACTGGGAACTAAGATATCACTTATGAAAAAAGTTTGATGATTTCAATGGTAAGAGGACCAGTGAAAAAACCTTTTCAGTTCCTTTTTTTTTTTCTTTTTTTGCAGACAAGCCAACTGGAACAAGTATTACATCCAGCCCAACCAATAATACTGTGTTACGTAACAGTAGCTTGGTGTTAAGTTGCAGAACAGATGCCAACCCTGCAGCACATATTTATAATTTTTATTTTAATGGTACCTTTATTGGTGTGAACAACTTGGGTAGGTATCTTGTCGCAGTTCAAGCAGATGGAGAGTACACTTGTGTACCTTTGAACACAGTCGGCATAGGTGACAATGCCACCTTTACTGTCATAGCAGTTGGTAAGTGATAACAGTTTACAATAAACTTGTTTTTGTTTTTTTAGCTACCCAAAACTAAAGAAATATGAAATTTAACAGGTATCAATTATGGTAAAATACTGATTGAATAAATTAATCTTTGTATTTTTAATCGAAACTAGCCTTTATGCACATTAAAGGTAGCACAAACATGATTGAAAACCACTTTTTCCTTTGGATATACCTCCATACTCTTATATGGTTGTTTTTGATCAGAAGGAGCACTCAATGTACTATTAATAATGTCATGTGCTTTGCAAAGCAAGATCTGAAAAGCTTAGGGAGACCCCCTTTTTTTACTTTTAAAACCAATTCCATGGAAGCAAGATACTATTTTAGCCACAGAAATAATAACAACTGTTGTGTTACACATAAGCATCAATCCGGCAATACTACATTTATAGCATGTAGAATTGTGTTTAAAAAAACTTATCATTATTTTGCCTATAATCTCTTTCAGATGCACCTTTAGTAGATGTTTTCCCTGCCATGACCTCTGTCCAAGAAGGAAACAATATCACATTGTCATGCAATGCATCTGGGAAACCAGGACCTGTTATAGCATGGACAAAAGTTGGATCATCACAAGTTCTCTCTCACACTTCTTTGCTGTCAGTTGTCAATGTAAGCAGACCTGAGACAGCAGACAACATGATCCAGTATCAATGTAAAGCCAGTAATGGAGTGAAGACACCTGCTACAGCTACAGTCAATGTTACTGTTCACTGTGAGTTGCAGTCAGAATTTCTCTCACCCATGGAATTTATTCTATTTTTTCATGAAATGTCTGTCATATTAAAAGTAGATCTAGCCATTTGACAGTTTGATTGTGCAGCGCATATCCACTTTTCAGTGGGAATACTGTATGGATACTCTAGCACAGAAGGTTAGCAGAGTTACATTATTGTAGAACTAAATAGGCCAGGTTGATAATAAGGCCAGAGGAATGGAAGCCAGGTATACAGTGTTAATCCATCCACAAAACCAACTTCTCAAATACTTATTCAAGGAAAGCCACCTGGTGGAGTGTTCACTGCTAAGCATGATATGATCACACAAGCTGTTGCATTTTGTAGTCTAAGAAGTTATTTATCTATTATTTCAAGGGAACCTAGCAAACAAGACTTCAAGTAAATACACAGCTTTGACTTATTTTTGCTGATGAATTTTGAATGCGACTATTATTATAACTTATTATATTGAGTAATGATCAATTAAAAGCAGCCTTTGTAGTACAGCTGTAACTTATTACTGAATGAGTGTACTGTGAGCAGTTAAAGGAGTGGTATAATTTTCAATTCTAAAGATTCTCAATGGGGTTATTGCAGGGTACCTGTACATGTTGTAAGTAGTGAGATGCACATTGAACTTGATTCAAACATTTTGTCCCTGTGATCTTGGTGTAATTTTTTGTTCCCGTAATCATGGTGTTGCTTGTTTTATTTCTACAGTCCCCCCTGATATTGACCATGCCCTATCAGCTTATCAAGTTGTAGAAGGAAGTGGGTTGATCCTGTTCTGTAATGCCACTGGAAATCCAAAGCCCAACATTACTTGGACCAAACAAGGAAACAACAGTGAACTGTCAACATCAGAGACTCTTACTTTGTCAAAGCTGACAAGAGAAGATGATGGATCTGTTTTTGAATGTACAGCACAAAACTACATCACTTCAGTGAAAGTTATGGCAGTTCTTACTGTTTGGTGTAAGTATTGGGAGTTTTTCCCTGTCTTCAGCTTACAGTAAAATGGTCAATAACTTTAAAAATATACCCTGCATGTTCCCGTATACTGTATATGGGGGGGATGATGTTCTGTAGAGTAGAATCTTCTCTCAAGGTGCCTAGTCTTTACCCAGGGGTATAAACAGAGGAAGGAGGAGTACTTTAAGTCACTTTGTTACATGTTTGGAACTGGGATGATTTAATTAATAGGTTCATTTAATTCAATCAGCAAAAACTTCATACCTTTACTTTCAAAAGTGTTACTCCAGACTTGATGGCATCTTCTGTGCTCTCCAGAATTGAAGAAAGATAATTTTTGACCTCGGTATGGGACAAAGAAAAAATCCTCAGTCCCCTTGGGAAATGGAACCTCAGACCTTTGTATTCCATGCTCTGATGCTCTACCACTTCTTTCCTGTGCACATGAAAATTGTACATGTGCATCTGATGACCCTGCACCTGAGCATATAAAATTAATCTGTGCAGTAACATACATCTAAGCATTACTGTTTTAAAATAACTATAATGTTAATGTAATTGGAAAATTTTCAGTTTGAATTGATTGTTTCCAACAGGCAATGGGTAGTATTGATATTTCCATACAGCTGAGTTCTACTAAAAAGGTCTTAAAAGTAAAAGCTATTCCTGTGAAAAATTCAGTTGGGCTTTAATTGATATCTTAAAATGTGCATTATTTAGTCAGTATTCATTTTTAAGGACATGGTCACCAACATGAGATTGATGTCATCAAGACATGCCCAATGTCGTAGGACTGAAAAAGAAAGATAACTGTGCAATTAAAGGACATTGTTAAGAAATTTTCAGTTGTATCCAAAGAGGCATGCAGGTTGTATTCTGAAGCACTACTCTGATCTCTTACCAATCATTTGAAAATATTATTTACAGATGAACCGAGTGTAACATCACAGCAGTGTCCCAGTCCCATAACTGAGGGTGACAATGTGACACTTCATTGCAGTGCCATTGGTAACCCTGTGCCCAGCATTGCATGGATCAGAGCAAGATCTAGGGCGATACTGACATACAACAAGACTTTGATTTTTAGGAGTATCGCACGCAGTGAGTCTGGGGGATATGAGTGCCTTGCTTGGAATGGAATTGGAAACAACAGCACCAACTCTTGTTCAATTGATGTACATTGTAAGTGCATGCAGGATACCTTACTTTACAAGTGTAAGATTTATGTAAAATGCTAGGAATTTCAGTTCATATGTAAGATCATATTCTTTGAGATTATTTAAATTCAAAGTAATAATTAGTTAAAGGAATATTATTTCTTGATAGAAGATTTGTACCATAAAATGTCTCTTTAATTAGCTTTCAAAAATTTCAGTGGTCATTCACAATTGTTTCCTCTGGTCAACTACAACATTACTTACAATAATAATTCTTTACAGGTATTCACACTGTTTCTGCTTTGGTATATACTTTAGAGTATTTACCTACCCCTACCTACTAAATCTTGACTGAACATTTCATTCTCCATTTGACTGTTTTTACTCACCAACAAAAATACACTGTAGAACCCTTTGTGATTCTTTCTTGGGAAGCATGTAAGTCTATGGCAAAAATATACTTGAATTTTATTTTCATAGATTTACCAAAGGCCTTAGCTCTGTTGACTACTCCAA